CGCCCCGCCTCCTCCTCCGCCACGCCCCGCCTCCTCCTCCGCCACACCCCGCCCTGCCTCCTCCTCGCGCTCGCTGGCCACCCCAAGCTTGCCGCCCCGCCTCCTCCCAACGCCCGCCCCCTCGAGGCACTTGGGGACCGCGCGGGCGCGGGGGCCGCCGCCGTCGTGGCGTCCACCTGCGTGGAGCGCGCGTTGGTGCTGGCGGGGCTGGAGCTCGTCGTGCGTGGGCGGGACGGGCTGGCCAGGCCGGAGTGGGCGCTGGTCGGAGCTGGCGAGGCGGGGCCGTGGCTGGAGCGGGCAAGGCCAGGGCGGAGAAGGAGCGCGCGGTGGCCTGGCGGAGCGGCGCGGGCACAGTTGCTGGTCGCGGCGGGGCCGCCGGTGCCGTAGGAAGGCCAAGGACGATGCTATGGCCAGGGAGATGCTCGCGATGCTCGGACAGCGGCACGCTCGTCGAGAACAAGCCCATCATCGGCGTCTTCGGGGCCGCACCCTTCCTCGCGCGCGCGTTCGAGGCCGCGGCCAGTGAGCAGGTCCGGCACGAGCGATGGCGCCAGCCCAGCGTGCATCCTCGGCATCCTCAGCCGCCTGCTGCTCCTCTCGCGCGGCCGCACCGTCTACGCCAGCGCGCCCGCCGGCCTCAAGCCCTTCTTTGCGAAGTCCGGCGCGTGTCCATGGTCATGGTCAAGCACACGCGCTTGGGCGATTCGCGTGATGATGGTGGCAGGGGTACGTGCATGGGGGGGGGGGCAACGAGGGGACATTTTTTCACCCCCAGACTAAATGTTTCACCGACAGCCCCTCAAGCGGCGAAAAAAATGCCTCCTGGGGGGCTCAATGGCTGGAGATGCTCTTATACTATGTTGGTATACGGTGCCAGTGGCAGAGCTTGAAAGAAATCTTAGGCACTTCTGCTTCAGTACATGTCCATACTATTCTTTATACGTTTTGTGAGGGAGGGGGGTGTACCGAAGCGGGACTCAATCTTAAGAGGGGTGAAGCTACAACTTTTTTTTCATGCCAAATCGTAGGACTGCCTCAAATTGTAAGGATTGAATCAATTATATGCGAAGTGTCGATCTTGAGTAGTATCATAAAATTTGTAGTTCTTCAAAAGGGACTGCATAAGACTTAGCTTCAAGACTGCTCGCCGCACATCACCGCTTTGATTAGGTGGATCTTGCCAAATATGTGTACACAATGCTGGATGCCGTTCTAAAATTTTTTGTTTGTTTGAAATTTTGTTCCAAGAATTTGATCCCTGTCTGAGTTTGATGCCATTGTTCTTTATGAGTTTGATGTTCAAACTAGAGCAACAAGAGAGTTGACCGACCATTCGGTCAATGTTAGTTCATTAACTTCACATTCACCTCTATTTCTTTTATATAAAATGAATCGGTTGTACTCCTATTCCCACCATCGCTAGCTTGGGTTCTTTATTAGGCTGTAAACAACAAATTTATTTAGTCCGAAATATCTGACCTAATTAGAACACTCCCCCACCAATTAAGATGCAGCAGGAAACTATTATTAATCGATTGCTTAAAATTACCGACTGAAAAAGGTGAGCAGACTGCTGCTCATTGGCTCACCTCGCGGAGTGCCAGGGGACGTTTGATTTGCTAGCTCACCTAGCTTAGCTGGGCAAGGTTTATGTAGCCCGCCACGGCTAGACTTGTCAAAAGCAAGCCTGACTGTTTGGAAGAGAAGCAAATTAAGTGTTAACTGTCCAAAGTGCCCACGATCTCTTCTCTTGCCCGTGCGGGAGAGCCGAATTGGCTTGCCTCCATCAGCAAGTTTTTTGTGACAGTTGCAGGCTAGATTGCCCTTAAAAGTTAGCTCAATTTACCTTATCAAATGGCTATCCTTGCCTAGCAAGGCTAGGAAGATAGGGCTCGCCTAGGATCCAAACGCACTGCCAGTGTCGCCCTGATGCTGAGTGGGGCCGCGTTGAGGCCTCTGGCCATCTGTGAGCCCAACTCTACCGCACGACCCCAAACGGATGTCCGCTTTGTCCGGATTTCGTCCATTTAGAGTGGCAATAGGTAGCAAAATGGACACGCATGCCCGGCTATGGATGGAGGCGCTGTTGGAAATATGCCCTAGAGGCAATAATAAATTGATTATTATTATATTTCCTTGTTCATGATAATCGTTTATTATCCATGCTAGAATTGTATTGATAGGAAACTCAGATACATGTGTGGATACATAGACAACACCATGTCCCTAGTAAGCCTCTAGTTGACTAGCTCGTTGATCAATAGATGGTTACGGTTTCCTGACCATGGACATCGGATGTCGTTGATGACGGGATCACATCATTACGAGAATAATGTGATGGACAAGACCCAATCCTAAGCATAGCACAAGATCGTGTAGTTCGCATGCTAAAGCTTTTTTAATGTCAAGTATCATTTCCTTAGACCATGAGATTGTGCAACTCTCGGATACCGTAGGAATACTTTGGGTGTGCCAAACGTCACAATGTAACTGGGTGGCTATAAAGGTGCACTACGGGTATCTCCGAAAGTGTCTGTTGGGTTGGCACGAATCGAGAATGGGATTTGTCACTCCGTGTGACGGAGAGGTATCTCTGGGCCCACTCGGTAGGACATCATCATAATGTGCACAATGTGATCAAGGAGTTGATCACGGGATGATGTGTTACGTAACGAGTAAAGAGACTTGCCGGTAACAAGATTGAACAAGGTATCGGGATACCGACGATCGAATCTCGGGCAAGTATCATAACGCTAGACAAAGGGAATTGTATACGGGATTGATCGAATCCTCGACATCGTGGTTCATCCGATGAGATCATCGTGGAACATGTGAGAACCAACATGGGTATCCAGATCCCGCTGTTGGTTATTGACCGGAGAACGTCTCGGTCATGTCTGCATGGTTCCCGAACCCGTAGGGTCTACACACTTAAGGTTCGATGACGCTAGGGTTATAGGGAATAGATATACGTGGTTACCGAATGTTGTTTGGAGTCCCGGATGAGATCCCGGACGTCACGAGGAGTTCCAGAATGGTCCGAAGGTAAAGATTTATATATGGGAAGTCATGTTTTGGTCGCCGGAAAAGTTTCGGGGTTTATCGGTAACGTACCGGGACCACCGGGAGGGTCCCGGTGGTCCACCAAGTGAGGCCACCAGCCCCGGAGGGCTGCATGGGCCAAGTGTGGGAGGGGACCAGCCCCAGGTGGGCTGGTGCGCCCCCCACCAAGGCCCAAGGCGCAAGGGAGAGTGGAAGGGGGCAAACCCTAGGCTTAGATGGGCCTAAGGCCC